CCTCGGGGAGCTCATCGCTACATCGATCGCATACAACTATAAGCCGGCCTAGTATCACGATCCCGAGACGCCCTCTTCCTTCTAATAGTGCCACTAACAGCCCAATAAACTACCCCAACACATCTTTAATTTCAGATATCTCGCCTCCTAACCTAGTCACGAGTGGTAATAGGCAATTGTCGAATAACCAGGTTGGCGTTAGCACAACCAACATGAGTTCTCCGCCGCCTTCCAACAATACCCCTACAGATATTGGCGCCGCTTTTCCTCTACCCCATATTCCTTCCATGCAACATCCCGCAGCCTTGACAACGGCCAATTTCACTTCCTTGCCTGGCCATACTGCACCATCCAATCCGCCACCACAAGTGATGGGGAGCCAGGCTTGTGTGCAAAATATGAATACAATTACTCCAGATCACTCACACCCAAGCAGATCAGGGCATCAGGCAGCGCAACTAGATACCATGCAACGACATCCCTATATACCTTCACCAAACCCAGTGTCTATAGCACACACTTCTCACCCTCAAAATTCCTTACCAAATATTCCTACATGGCCTGTTGAGCGCCAGATATCCGGAACAAGTTCACTCCCCGAAGAACCTCAGGGGAACCCCCAGTCACGCAGTGGTCGCTGGCTTTCTGCTAACTACAGATCCTCTGACAATTCACATCCCGGAGTCCAAAGATCCCGGTCTCGCTCTCAGGATGTACCTCGGCGTCGTTTAAATACAGGGGGAGGCCTTTTTGACAGACGCACTGGTCGCAATATTCTAACATCCCAGTCTGATATTCGACTAAATTCTACGGCACGGTCAGACGACTGGAAAGAGCAATGGACCAAGCTGAAGGGCGAACGAAAGAGGAACAAAGATTCAAAGTGTGCAGTAATGTAATATTCCCTTGATGTAATTGAGATTTGTACGGATGTTCGATTTTGATATTACCGTTGGTGGGCACCCCTTTTGGTTTACACCTTACGTGTCAATAAATATTAGTTAACTAGCTATGCTTGCTTTCCGGGGTTGTCAAATTTACCCGGAATGGAGCCTGGCTCTTTTCTGTCTGACCATATCTCTCAGCAGGCTCCTTTATACTATTGCTCCATTAAGAGATGCCTCCCTCGATTGCAGTCATCATCGGTTGCTGTACCAGTTAATAAACTACTATCTGGATCTCTTGCTAACTAAGCTACAGCGGCGGCGACTTCGTATCGCCCATCTCAGTTGTCATCTTCGCGTGTTGGCGAGCTAGTTGACAATAATACTATTAAACAACTATATAGCTAGCCAGTTACTTGACTGGTTGGCCCACCAGACGACGATCAAAAGTCACCCATACAAATTAATGCCTGCTTTGGAGGATCTGAACGAGCTATTTAACGACCAACTCATCATTCACACTATTACTGTGCTCTGAGTTGCCCCCCTAGTCTTTCTGACTGCTGCTATCAACTTTGCACACTGGCTAGGGACACCACTACTGGTAATTTAGGCGGAGGAGGCTGTAGCCGTGAAAGGGTCTTGACAACTTCTCAGCCTGCTGACAGTAGTTACCATGGTATCTGGTATGTTCAAATGTGATGAATTCCGTAGCTGTAGAATCAATGAACGTGAAAATCGTCAATTTATAATAATACGTATGATAATATTAATGCATTAACGCCAATTCAGAAGCTAGTATGTACTTCTCTCCGTCGTAAGCAAAAAGCTTCATATTTCCCATTATCGTGAAAACTCCCAATAGAAGCAAAGGGCTCAAAATCCGGCCGAAAATGTGTCCCGCGTACGTTGGTATCATGTACAGATGAAATAAACTTCCCTATAAAAAATAAAGGGAATTAAGAAAACAGTAGCAGCCCCTGGGTAAATGGATGTTTTCCCTACCTACACCTCCAGGCCCTGAACACCAGGATATAAGTAAGGAAAGTCTACAAGGCCGTCAAGCATCCAATTTAAAGGGTCGAACACTTCATAATTTGTTTCTAGGAAAGCACTGGAAAGGGAGGACGAGTTGAAGCCTCCCAGTGCTGGACCCGGGGGAGAGCTAGGGCCCGTAGTTACAGGACCAGCCGTCAAAGCTGGGGAGGTAAGGGTGGGATCAGCTGCCGAGACTGCACTTACGCCTTCTGGCGCAGGTGGTGCAGGCGTGGATGTTGACGTTCGGATGGCAGCGGTGGAGGAACACGAGGCTGAGGAGTCAGCTCCAGAGTCTGGATTTGTTGGGTTTTTGAGATACGCTGTTGTAGACAGTTAATTCTGTGTACAGAATCGAAGATGGACAAAGATATCGGGATAGCGGGCGTCTTACCTTCAAAATTCCTTCCTCTGGCTTGGAAATCCTCTCGCCATCGCCAAACGGAGTCGAAAACAAGTGACATGCTCATTCTACAGCGAACCTTTAGCATAAGTGAGTCTCCCGTATCCGATGGGTTAGTTTCTCCCTGATGCCTTTGGTCCTGAGGCTGTTGATTATTTCGGCTGCCAACACCGTTCATTCGCCACATTTGAGCAAGAACTTCAGCTAATCGTTGCGGAAGATCGTTGTTCATCACGGATATGTGGCGAAGGGCTGATATAGTGCGACTAAAAAGAGATTTCGTGTAGCTCATATCAATATGGACAGCGAAAAAGCTGTTGCACAGCTTGAAAAGGCTGAATCCTGCAGCAAGGGTCATCTGGTAAATGTAGTTAGAGCAATAGGATAGGACCGGCCCTGTGGAGGTTTCAAGGCCAAAGGCCGCCTCAAGAAAGGCAGTTGTTGCAAGGTATAGAGCTGATAGGCCTTGGCGGTAGTCCTTGGTGCTCGGGTTCTCAAAGAAAATGGAGAGATGTAGATGTAGGCCAGCGGCTCGTAAATAGACATTCGTTATGGCTATTACCTGTTAGCTCTGTAGCGCATATGTGAAGGGGTGGGAGCATACAATTTGTCTCTGTTCGGACCTGACCCTCCAAGTCTTCAAAATCTTTGAACAGCACTGATGCCATGACGTTTCGCTCCTTGTCGCTTAATACACCTACTGGGTCACGATGGTTTGTGTACAATGTTTTTGATATTTTATCACAGAACTTTTCAATCTGTAGCCGCACTCTAACCTCAGGAGGGAGTCGTAGATCCGCCTCCTTCGAAGAAAGGGTACAGTCAAACAGTGTCGACGATGGCTGTCCATAGCCAGTTGCAACTCTAGAAGCAATTGTTAGCATAGAGCCAAGATATGGGGAGATATTGGTTAGTAACATACCGTTGAGCAACAATATTACAAAATGCCCACGTCCTCACCCTATCATTTAGCTCACCCTCTCTCAACTCCACCCTATATTTGGAGAAGTCCTGTGCATGAGACGGCCTATGTAGGCCTATTTGGAGTGCTATTTGCTGCATCATGCCACAGAGCATGAAAGTAGGGTCCGTGGACGTACTACTAGTAGGAAACGGCCAGGTGCAAAGCAATGCTAAAGCCTTGACAACATGATAGCTCTGTGGGACGTCTGCAAGTGTGCTCCATACCAACCGCAAAACGGGACCGGACAAAGCATTCAGAAGAGATGAATCTGTCTGATACCTGCGGGAGGCAACTCCGAGGATGGTCCAAAAAAGGAGAGGAGACGTATCATAATATTCGTCCGGGCTCTTTTGAGCCTCAAGCAATGGAAGAAAAGGGTGATAGTATGTAAAAAATCTGGTGAAAAGCTCTGCGGTCCGATCTAAAGGGATTGTCACATCTTCCAGTCGTTTCACGTCTATGATATTGCCAGGTGGGCTTCGCAGATAGTCACCACCGGACTTGAGATCTAACAATGATGCAACGGCTTCGTGTGGTTTCATGTAGTCAGCCGAGGCCTGGTCTGCTTGTTGAGGGCGCATCGAGCTCGTGGATGGGTTGTAAGGCATGGAAGATGGTACCGGAAGATGACCAGGTGCGGACATGTTCAGATGGTGCTGCTGCTGCTGCTGCTGCTGCTGCTGCTGGGCCAGGAACTGCACATTGGCATTGGCATTGACAACCTGTCTTCGCAATTCTATAATTTCCCGCTCCATTTCCGCATTACGGCTGCGTTTGCCAATCCGTCTGAAGTTCGCTTCGATCTTACATGGCAGCTTTAGCCGGTGGCAGCGAGTGCAGGTCGTAAAAGGGTCCTGAACAACATCACAGCGAAGCTACGTGACAGACTTGTCAGTGCTGAATTATAACTTATACATACACAGAGTGCTCACCTTCTGCTGACGACACTCATTACAAGCTCTCTTCACCGGGTGCCTCCGCTTCTCGTCTTCGTCGCCATCTCCAGTCGCACTCTGCGGCGAGCTGCTCTGCGCACCACCAGGCGCAGACCTCTTCTGTCTCCCACCGCTTAGGCCTTTCAGCGACGTTCTCCTAGCCCTACCGTCGTCGCTGTCTCCCTCGTCTCCGCTGTTACTCTTTGTTCTCTCTGCAGCACGGGAGCGCAGTCCACCACCTGGCGACATCACCCCCACTCACTGCTCCAGGTATCTTGCTGTGTCAAACTAGCTGTGGATGCGCTGCTGGGGGAGCTGCCTCCGAAACCGCTATCACCATATCCCTTCACCCTAGTCAACAAGAACCCTCCAGGCCTGCCGGTTTAATCCGCGGCCGCGCAGGCTTTTTGCTTCTTTTTCTTTAGGTTTTGTTTCTCGATTTCGCCGTGGGAATGCGGGTGAGTACAAGGCGTTGAAGACGGGGCGAGAGTGTGTGGGACAGCGGCGTAGCGGTCGGGCAATGGCAGGGCAGCGGGCGACACAGGCTCGGTTGCTTGTAAATAGGCGCAGTTTAAGAGGCTGCCAGAGTGCTTTTGCTCGGTGGTGAAGCGTTTGTCTCGCTGGATGAGTCGAACTCGTCTTTGTCGATGGGATTTGCTGCCAGTCACATGACTCGACCTACGGGCATTTTTTGCATAACTGTTAAGTAGTTAGTTAACGAGTTAGTAGTTTTGGCCGACTGGTTGACTGGTTAACTGATTAACTGGTTAACTACCGAGATGCACGACGTGAGAGGTGAAGGTCAAGCTTGGGACGAGGGAGAAACGGCCAACATCACAGCGACGGCGAAGAGCCGAGAAGCGGAAGAGGACTCCTGTGCAGACGAAAAGATGGTGGTGTCCAAGGGAAAACCCGTTGCACTCAAGAAACGCTCGACAGCCCGCTGTCTTCATCCATCACGACGGCCAGCGGATATCCAGATGCTCTCTACCTCTACCTCGACCAGATCGACATTAAAAGCTGACGAAGAAACGTTGACTACGGAGTTCGATGCCTCTCAGGCCCCTCAACCGTTTCTTGACCCGGATCTGCGAGATCGTATGCTGAAGCTACGGGGATCCAAGCTCAGTCCTGCAACACACTCTAAAGGACAGAATAACGAGTGATAAAGAGCTCTATTAAGATTTCAATTCCAGTATTTAAATATTACGTGTATGGGAAAGAGAAGAAGCAGAAGAAACATAAACCTCGAACTCAGGGGAAATGGGAGAGGCTTCCTTGTAACACTGAAAGCAAAGCGATACATATAGACATTAAAAAAGGTGGGAGGGGAAGATCAGGATCAAAATAAAATCATCATCATCATCGTCATCAATCATCATCATAATGCAAGTGAAGGAGATCGAACATCCGCGCTGTCATTATCAAAGCATGAAATGTATCATCGTAAAGCATATGTTGGTAATAAAATGGTGTTGGCACCGGCAATCTCATCTTACTTTTTACAATTCATTCGTGGTATCATAATTCGTTCAGCTGGCATAACTAGTTTCGTGGGTGACGCAAGGGTTTATTCAATTCTCTCCCTTCGAGACGGAGAAAAGACACTCTCCGGGTCCATTGTGGAGGCGACGCTAGTGTAGTCGACAATAACGTTCCCTCCGATAGCTCGGCGGAGCTTCTCTCGGCGAGCCTCAAGTTTCTCTTGTTCACGTCGTTGGCGAGTACGGGCGATCCAGTCCTGCACTTCATGCAAAGGACGGAAGGAGCGTACACGTTTCCCTTGACGATATTCGGAGACTAAGGACAGGCTTGTTTTGCTGGATGGAGATTTAATAACACGACTAGGCTTAGACCGAAACCGGGAACGCTGCGAGACACGCCGGATCATGGAGATAGGGCCTTGGAATGGCGTGCGGTTGTGAGGAATACCAAGTGTGTTGCTAACATACTGTCCGCTCTCGTATCCATTGGAATCCAAGTCGTTTCCGGCGGTTATCGTGGTCGTTGTTTTGGGGATGAATATACTGGATTTAAGACTACCGCGTCTACTGGAGATGCCTTCGTCGTCGTAGTCTTGCCAGAATCCATACGGACGCCAAAACGGATGCTTCTTGCTATCCAGCTTCTTGCCCGCCATCCTGTTGCGTACACGATGTGTCGTGCTTCTAATATCTTTTGCAGCATCAGTAGCAGGTATGGAATCTGCAGTCGATGCACGATTGGAGGAACTAAATCTCCGACGAGCCAAGCTGAGACGACGGGCAATCCCACCGCCAGTACCGCTACTACTATCCGTTTGCATTGGAAGTGGGGGCCGGGGCCTTGACGGCACTGTGTTTGCACGCTTTAGTGGGATCAATGGGACATCTTGCGGATCTGAACCCGGGGGTTTGGGCGCAGCACGAGGGTATCTAAGGGGGGATTCAACATGATCTAGAGAAATCATGGGTGGTCTGGGTCGAGCTTCACAAAGTGGATGTTCAACAACCAGTAGAGATTTGTTATTATGGGCAAAAAAAGGAACTGCTGTTGCCTGGCTTATTTCTACAGGCCCAGGAGAGCACGATAACGACTCAATAGAACGCTGAAATTGAGTTGAAGATCCAGCTGGTGGAGTTGGCTGGCGGGTGGAATCCTCATGATCACGAACAGGTGAATCTGGGGGAAGAACTATTTGTGGTGTGGGCATAGAAGTCGTAGACAGACGAAGCGGCTTTGGGATGAGATCCGACAAGACTCCTGTACCTTCGGACCCTAGGTTTTGAGTCTGTGGGTTAATAAACTCCGAAGGGGGTTGTGGCAGAGCCTTAGAGTCGAGAACAGCTTTATTTTCAGAACCAACAGCTGTAACAAGCATGCGAGAGCTATTACCTGACATCGAGCCTGCTCGGGAGGTATTTCTGCTCGTGGGAGCAGACAGAGAAGACCGTCGCGTGGGAATTTTTGGTTTAAAAGCATTAGGCACACTAGACGTGGAGGGTAGGGACTCGGACATGGTGCGCCTATGTCTGCGTGAACTTTGGGATGACTCTGGAGCCGAATCTGGCGCGGTAGAAGGTCTGCGGTGATTCGGAGGCAATGAGCGCAAGACCGGTCTAGGTGGTGCGGTGGTCTTCAGCGATGACCGACGCTGAGGGATAACAACCACACGAATGACATCCTCGACTTTCCTGGGTTTAGTGAAAGTTATGGCTGTACTGGTTGTAGTTCCTGACATGTCAGATGCAATGCTCCAGCGATTTTCATCTGTGATCCGAGTTCGTTTGTGAGTCAGACGTGGTTGTGACAAGGGCAGCGACTGCAACGGCTTGGTCACAGATGGTGTGCTGGGGGTTGGCGTGCTGACGGATCGAAGGGAGTCATTCTTCTCAGTATGTCGAAGTGTCCTTTTCTTCTGCGGCGGAGAATCGATCACAATGGCTTCAATGGTGGTGGTTGATGCGGTTGAAATACAGCGTACGTGCCCTGAGTTATTGTTCTCCATGTCACCTTCACTTCGCCAGCCGGTGCTGGCGGCAAAGGCTTCAACTGAGTTGGATGGGCCACTGCTATTCTCGTTCCGGGTTCGTCCCCGGAGGCTTCCATGATGAATACGAGAAAGGGAATACTCTTGATGAGAAGACTGAGTATGGCCTAAGCCGGATGAGCTTCTTTTTTCGCCACGTTTTCGTACTTGTAATTCGTTTGTATCGAACAGCTGGCGGTCTTGCTTAGGCTTCTGCACATCTTTGTCATGATGGGCCTCATCAGTGGTTGTATGACTAACAGCTGTATTGCGCCAGGAGAGTGACGGTCCATGTTTACTGGGTAACAGAGAAGTGGGTTTGGACCTCTCAGTCTCCTCATCAGAGGATAAGGATTCTTTGGCTGTCGCAAAGGAGGTCGTTCTTGAAGATGCAGACGGGAAACGCTGGCTCTGCCCGTCTCGTTTCTTAGAGCGAGAGACGATGCGAGGAGGGGTAATATCTGGAGTGAGCGGTTTTACTCCGTTTGAAGGTGTTATGGTATTTTGCGGGTCGAGATGAGTTTCAGCATCTTGGTCGTGTGAAATCTCAAGGGGTTTCTGGTCTTCAAGGGTGATGACGGGTGGAGTTAGGGGAAGTGTACGTGTAGGAGGGTACGCGGGCCCATTATTTATGTCACCACCGGTATCATTATCAGCGCACGCAGGAGAATATGCGCTGACAAGATCCCGTCGTCGCGGTAAGACTTTGTGAGATTTCAAAAGAGGTTTGTCTCTGCCCTCACGTCTCTGGACAATGTCGATTGCGGCCGCCATTATCCCAGGGGACAATATCTTTACTTCAAATATCCCCAAAGAACATAACACGGTTTTATCGTTGTCAGGTTCGAGCCGAGTAGGGGACGTGGAGGTTCCGTTTCATCACGGAGCAGAGACGTTCAGAACAGGCTCACCAGCACACCGACGTGCTATGGTATGCTATGCTTTCGGAAACACGGAGAGTTCACCAGGAGGGCGGACCAATGAACGGCAATTTTTCGATAATGTTGAAGGTAGCGCTGTCAATGTGCTGGATGAGTGGTGATACTGAATGAGCGGGTGGAATGGCACCTAAGGAGTGACTGGTACCAAGTAAGCCGTGTTGTCTAGGTGAGAAACGGAAGATAACGAGGTGAGATATCGAATAGCGAGTGACAGGACATGCGATCCGGCTTGAAACGAGAACAGACAAGTGCGCGCTCAAGGGAGAGCTGCAACCCTGGCACCAGTATATATGCACTGTCTCAAGATAAGCACCCGCGGGTCCCCTCTTCTCCGGTCGTCTCTCCAGCCTTCAACCTCGCGTCTTCGTGTATTCAGGGCTGGTCAACGTGTTCCAAGTTCTGCTGATGAACTAATACATCGTGTCTGGCTTCTAGAGAGCGAGAGTATGGACGGGCAAAAGCAAACAGTGATGTTAGCCACCCTCTCTCTCCTTGCTGCTTATCTTTCCTGGTTATGCCGTGTCACCGGGTTCTCCTGTATCTGTGGCTGCTCCGTGACCTTGCTTTTTGTATATCCTACAGCTGCTTTTCTGTCGCTTTCGTCTCCGGCCTCTATTTGTCCTTGCTTCTAGCTCTCGTCTCCCTGTTCGGCTGATCGTCGTTTCACACCTGACGTTGAATGGGTTGAAGTCGTAAGTTGCCCTTTCGGGGGTGGGAATTTGTACCTGATTAGTCATACTACTTAGTCATCAAATTTATTATCTCAGCCACTCTATTACTAAGACAAAGCTATTTTCACGTGATTATCGTCCGAAATGGGAAATAAAGGACGTCAAGCCACAAGAAAGACGAGAAAAAGCAACAAAAAGCACAGAATAATAATAGTGACGACGAAGAAGAAGAAGACAAGGAAGAAGGACGGCGACGGTGAGGACGCGATAGACCAAGGCCGGCTGTCTCTGCAAGCGCTGCGGCGAGCAACCCAGTGACCGAGGCGACTGAGAAACCCGAGAGAGGCCACGGAGAAGCTACAGGGCCCTCCTCGTCCTTCCATGCCCTGCGCACTAAGCAACTCAAGTATCAAAGTGTCCACTTAACTGACGTCAACATCCCAGATCTCACTCCTCCTGCTGGCCTTTCCCTCTCCTTATAAAACAATAGGCTCCTCGCCCCGTCACTCGCTTATCTCCCGTCTGCATCGGAGTCACAGGAGATCATCAGCCAGACAGTCAGTAACAGTCACTCGAGAGACACGGAACTGTCACAAGGGCCAGGCAACTCTCAGCATCCCAGACCGGCCTTTTCTTTCCTTTGCTGCCCTCCACTTTACCCCCCCAAAGAAAGAAGAAGAAGAAAAAAAAAAAAAAAAAAACAAGAGGCCTGGCTGTAGCAGCCGCGCCGTACTACCCGCCCCTCCCCCATCATCAGCCCTCCCCCCTTGTCTGCGCTCACATCTCAAGGGGACGACAATAATAATAAAAAAGAAAAGAAAAAGCACATCCTGTCGTCATGAGTACAATACAAAACCTCAAGAACTTCATCCGCCATGGGAAACAGGCCCGTATGTCTGTTGCCCATGGTGAGCCTACCACCAACGTCACAGCCGTCCACGCAGAATCCCAACGGAAACAGCAGCCGCAGTATCAGCCCGGCATGGCCACTGGCACCCTTGATGCTATCGATCAACATCAACGCTCGAATAAGGCCGCATCGGCCACCACTACGAAGAACCAGGCCAGAGCCCATGAGCAGGAGATCGAGCAGATTATTGCGGAGGAGAAGCTCAACCGTTCCAAGCTGCCCACCTACCCCGGCCTAGAACGATATGTTCTCGTTGAGAAGATGGGTGATGGCGCCTTCAGCAACGTCTACCGCGCGCGATACAAGTCTGGACAATCAGGGGAAGTTGCTATCAAGGTCGTCAGGAAATTTGAGATGAGCTCCAAACAGGTATGTCCGGGATGCCGCGCTACTAGTCAGGCAAAATACCCAATCCCATTACACTAGCTCCCGTAAACATTTTTTTTTCTCTTCGTTCTTTGCCAACCGGTGTGCCTTTGGGGGTCTCCTCTTAGGGCATTGATCACCTTCACCCGAGCATCAAGAAGAAGCAGGTGGAGGTGAGAACACCCTTCCATATATCGTCAGACCACTGCATACCATCGATCTAGTTATTCTAACACTACTCTTAGCGTGCGAGTATACTGAAAGAAGTTCAAATAATGCGCCAACTTGACCATCCAAACATAGTCAAACTGATAGAATTTTCGGAATCACCCCAATTCTACTACATCGTCCTCGAGCTATGTCCCGGGGGGGAGTTGTTCCACCAGATCGTTCGTTTGACCTATTTCAGTGAAAAACTAGCCCGCCATGTTATCGTACAGGTGGCAAAGGCAATAGAGTATTTGCACGAGGAATCTGGTGTTGTTCATCGGTTAGATCTAACATTTCCGCCCCGTATAATCTGCACTACTTGTTTATGCAATGACTGATCTTTTTTGAAGTGACATAAAACCAGAAAACTTGCTTTTCTATCCAGCACCATTTACTCCCACCAAAAATCCCAAGCCACCAGCCCCAGGTGACGAAGACAAGGTTGACGAAGGTGAATTTGTTCCTGGAGTTGGGTCCGGCGGCATCGGAGTGATCAAAGTTGCAGACTTTGGCCTTTCAAAGGTCATCTGGGATAGCGAAACCATGACCCCCTGCGGTACTGTCGGCTATACCGCCCCAGAAATTGTCAAAGATGAGCGCTACTCTAAATCGGTTGACATGTGGGCGTTAGGATGTGTTCTCTACACTCTGCTATGTGGTTTCCCGCCCTTTTATGACGAATCCATCCAAGCACTGACAGAGAAGGTTGCGCGCGGACAATACACCTTCCTCTCCCCTTGGTGGGACGACATATCTAAATCTGCGCAGGACTTGGTTTCACATCTCCTCACCGTTGACCCTGACAAACGTTATACCATTAAAGAGTTCCTTGCACACCCCTGGATTAGAGAGACAGACGAAGAGACCACTGCCGCTGATGATGCCCCTCCACTTGCCACCCCTCTCGTTTCCCATAACAAGATCCTTGAAGCGCCACTTGCCGGTATTGATCCCAATGCTCGTCGCGCTGACTTCCGCTCCCCCGGGGCTATGAACCTACGCGAGGTCTTTGATGTCGGCTACGCTGTTCACAGACAAGAGGAAGAGGCCAAACGCCGCAAAGCTGGTTTCAAAGTCGGATACCGAGGCGCGGCTCTCGATCCCCTTAGTGAAGTCGAACCTGCCGAGCAACAAGAGTATAGCGGTGATATCTCTGAATTACACGGTTATTATGACCATGGAGGTAACCCCGTCCCAACCATGCCTTACAACAGAGCTCAGGGAGGTCAACAGCGGCAACAACCTACCGGATATAACCCTGACGTAGCTGCTGTTGAGAGCAAATTACGTGGTACCAATATCAGTACAAGTCAACAATCACAGCAAATGAGCGCAGCTGCTCAAGCCCGTCGTGCGGCCGGCGCAACTGCTGCCAGGCAGCAACAGCAACAACAACAACGAGGCCGTCAACAATATCAGCAAGGCGGCTATGGCCAACACAGCGCAGCTGTAGCAGCTGCTGCCAGAGAAAACGCAGCTCGGTCAGCACAACAGCCATTCGAACTCAGCCTAGATAATGCCACATTACTAGGAAGGAGAGGAAGGAGGATGGCTGGACAACCCGTGTCTTGATTCACATTAGCCCTCATCCAAATAAGAGCTACCCCATCCCCCAAGTCTCCCACCTCACTCTCATCACTCGATTCCCTACCCTGCATCTTGCAGGCTCCTCGGCCGCCCTCTATTTTTTCTTATGTGTGCATGCCCAGCAATGATTTCTTTTAATGCCCAATTTCACTTTGATTTTTCTGTGATGTCATGTCATGTTATGTTATGGATTCATTTAATTACAACCCCAAACCTAACTGAACCTTCCCAGCACTAGACATTGAAATATTCCGTACATACAATTGATATGGCTTTTTCCATAACCATACCATCACTCCTACTCTGCCTTTTGCTTGGAAGGAGTAGGAAATGTTTATACAGACTGTTTGTACTCTTACCCAAGTTGCTGTATTTTTTTCGTTTTGTTTTGTTTTTGTTTTTTTCCCACGCCGGGATAATAGATAGGGGCGCGTTGGAGTAAAATTCGAAGGGCTTCCTTATTTTTGGGTTGCATTTGATTTGATAAATCACAATATCGAGGTCTCGGCGGTGCAGCCTATCTATGGATTGAGGGTATGTACGTACATGGGGTGACTTAGTTACGCTTATTATGCGTATTCGAGACTTCGACATAACTGAAATAAGGTGTAGAAGAAGAGCGAAGTATGCGATTGAGTAAAGACAGATACAATTTAGAAGACGTTAGATCATGTATGTGATTTAGATGAGAAAGGAGATAAATAAATTCGTTTTTCTATTCATAAAAAAGTAAACGAGCTACCTTCCAACTGGGTATAGTAAGCAAAGACATGAACATAAACATGAACCGTAAAGACAAATCGTTTCGCTCGCGATGCCTGCAACCAGACTTTCTGTCTGACACATTCCTTCGCCCTCTTCTATTCTCGCTCTATACTTCCCCTACGAAGAACAACAATATAATCATCCAGATAATGACACTCAGCCATAGTTTCTTCAGAGAGATGCTTTGCCTCTAGTCTCAATCGGAAGGAGTACCATAGCAACAAATGCAGCCAACATGAGGCCGCCAGATGCATACACAGGCGCCTTAGGGTTTGCATCACCACCGTAGATGGCAACAATCGGTGCCAGTAGCCCGCAGATACGGTTAAGGCAACTGGCGATACCAGTTCCGGTACCACGATTGGGTGCTGGGAAAACCTCAGGGGTGTAGGCGTATAAAACGCCGTACATGATATTTTGGAAGAAGGCCTCGAGACAGGTGCATGCCAGACGAACTTTGGGGTCAGGAGATATCGTGAAGCAGAAAAGGATAACTCCTGTGATCATGGTAGAAATGGCCATAGTACCCTTACGTCCAATATAAGGGATGTCGACGGTGTAGCAGGCAATCAGGGAGCCAGGAACACCAACAATGGAAGTAATGGCATAGTCACGGTATACTGTTTTATATTTTATTAGCCATAGGAAGAGTCAAGTAAATATGGTAGCAAACATACCGGTATAAGTAGTTGGGGGTGGATATTTGTCACCACCACCCTGAGAAAGATATTGTGGCAAGAAAGCATTGAAAAGAGGGTAGCCCATTCCAATAGTTGCCCAGCAAAACCACAGAAGGACAGCTATAGGAATTATCAGCTTCCAACTATCTCTTGAATATAGGGCGATGAAAATACTTACTAGTAAACCCAAGGCTCTTGGTTGCGAAGAGCGGGGAGATACGTTCTCCAGAGAATTTGTTCAGCTGTCTCTTGATGATCTCGGCAGTGCTTAGCTTCTGGCTTTGTACTTCATCTGGATGTCCTCCAACTTCATTGAGGATATCCACGGTAAGCCAAGTTTTTGCTCCGTTTTTATACGCAATTCCGTGTACGGCGGCAACAGTGTCTTCCTGACGTCCACGAGAGAGAAGGAATTTGGGGGATTCAAAGAGGTGGAATAGGAAGAAACGAGACAAGAACATAAGGAACGTAAGGACGCCAAGGATATAAGTCAAGTATCGCCATCCCATATTGTCTTCCTTTGCACAGCATGGAGCAGGCGCAAGGTGGCAGGAAGGTAGACCTTCAGCACAAGTATACTTTGGTACAAGGCCCCATGCGATAAGACTGTAGGGAAACAGAATTAGGGTGAGGAATGATATACATGGAGGGGATTCCGCTGCTTACCTGGCAACCAATTGGCCAACAGGCCACCATACACTGAGCATAGTCAGGAGGTTTCCAGACGCGAAGGGGAGAAATTCAAGGAACAGAGCACCATCAACAGGTAGATTTCCACCTACACCCAAACCGAGACATGCAAACATAGCGCAGACACTAGAAACAAAGTAAGTTTAGCAAGGGGAACTTCATGTGGATCATTTGTCAGATGCAATTAAGTCCTGAAGGTTATACATACCCGATCCAAGTTGGGCTACCGCCAACTGCAATTCCAAAAACGCCGCATAGGAAGAGAGTCATATTGAAAGCAAGGCGACGTCCAATGATGTCGGAAGCGGTTCCCCAGATGATGGATCCAAGGCAAAGGCCAATGAACAGAGCACAAGTGGTGAATCGAACATGAGATTCGCTAACACCAAATTCGAGGGAGAGTTTCGGCAATGTAAGGGCAACACCCTAAATGGAACCTGTTAACCAGCATTTTCACTAAATGCATGACAGCATGTAGTTGCTTACTTGAAGCCATAAACTGTAAATAGTACCATATTAGCTTATATCGGCATAAAATTAGGTTATAAGCGACTCAGAAAAGAACATACTTGTCTGCAAACCAGCCAAATCCGCACAGGACAAATAATTGCCATTGATAGCGGCCCATTCCAATATCTTGAACTGCTCTATTAATGACCATAGATTTTCCTAAAAGGACATATTGATTAGACTTAGTTCTTTGAATACAGTAGTATATAATCTACTGGTTTGACCAAGCTAGACGAATTTGATGTTTCTTTCGTCTAGCCTGTACAGCAAAAAAGGGTTAAGGGAAATCTCAAAATAGTTAGAACGTACTATCGTATGCAGTGTCCTGGCCGGTGGAGACAACAGCAGCCTCAACCTCAGCTCTCAGAGCCTCGAGGGTTAATTCGGTCTCATATTCCGGTGGGGGGCTGGCGGCACCCTCTTCGTCAAAGGTGCCACCTACGGATTTCTTTTTCGCTGGAATTTTACTTGTTGGCGAGCCACCGGACAGTGGTATTAGGACTCCAGGGAAGGACTTTTGCTCCTTCGCAAACGGGTTCACAAACGGCATGGTGAGTGGTGATTACTGTTGCTTTGGGCCAGATGGGAAAACTGTTGAGCTTTGCGTTTGGGCACGGTAATGGGACTTATCGACGTGGGATATGGGTTTGTTGGTGCTTTCGTCAGTACAGTATATGGCTACTGGGAACTGGTGAATTTCACAAAGAGGCTGCGTCTGGGCTGCTATAGCTAGAACCGGGCCGTCGATGCGATGGGATTGCGGGAAGATATTCCGAGAAATGGCGATGAGTTTGCACTTGAGTGATGATAATTGCACGTGGAACGATGAGCCAGCTGAGAATGGCAATTGGGGCCAATAGTGAACGGAAAGGAATTTCTGAAGAGTAGTTATCCAGCTAACTGTATCTCCAAAAATATAATAAAAAGCTGTATATCCGCTGGTCGGTGAGCTTCTCCTCCACGTGTAGCTGTAATAAAATGGCGGGTGCCGTGTATGCACCGTCTGCCTTCCGAAACGTGAAGACGGCTGTGTATACCGGTCCAGGGGATTTTGTGAGCCAAAGAGATGGTCGGACTTGAGGGAGAGGGAGAGAAAGGAAGGCCTCTATAAAGGCAGAGGCATGGTGACGCCGGTTGTTATATATCTGCGTGTTTCACGAATCAGACGATTCAGACCCAAGCTGAAATTAAGAGGCGAAAAAAGCAACAGGGCGAAGCCATGGGCAGAAAAGCACGAGAGCGGGTTGAAATGGGCGGATCCTGTCAAGCTGATTGGCTGTGCAGGCGGTGGAGTTCGACATGGGAGAAAGGGGTGGAGTTCTCTTGATGCTAGTGCGTCTCTCCGTTTTCATTCTCACTATTATGTCATAGGGTAGGGAGAGCAGTGCTCGTATATGGATCCCCGACCGACAGGGTGTGAGCTGGGGTGATTTTGATGGTGCTTCCTATATCGCTGCAGGCCGTCGAGCAGGAACACAAGGGCAAAGGCGGCCGGGCGAAGGCAACCTCATCACGAAGGCTCGGTTCTTCCCTGATGGGTAAGCAAGACGGGGGGAGTTTTGAATTTTGGTCATAAATTGAACCAAAGAACTGGTCCTCTCTATTATTATTGATTCTTAAGGTACGGAGTCCGGAGGGTGCAAGGAAGTGGCGATCTCTTCCTGAGCCATATATCCATTCAGAGGGAAGACTCATCCCTGCCTCCGGAGTAAGTAGTCTGCATCTGCCTTCAGCCATGATTAGATTCCTTACTCTTATTTCCCTCTTTTCGCTCTGTCTTGCTAGAGCTCATTCTGTCTGCACAGATGCATAGCTGCCTCTCTCTGTCTGGAGATGGAGTTTGCTTCGTCTCTACGGAGTACTTGTTGACTTTGATATTGCTTTTTCTTGGACGTCAAAGGAAAGTGCTTAGTAAGCTTCCTTCATCGCCTTGACTTTCTTGGCATCCGTGAGCTCGGACTCGGAAAAAGCTTTGTTCCACTTCCTGCCAATGAGCGCTAAGCAACTGTATTACGTCATACCAAAAGTCACTCGGACAGTGTCACGTTACATTGGCTTCCCACCAATGAAAAGTGCCGCAGCAATGGCCGAGGCGCCACTGCATAAAAAGGATGCAGCCCTTGGAGTTACAGCAAACCGCGGGTGGGGATGCGGACATTAAGCCAGGGAAGGGAAGCCGGAGAAGAATTTTTTTAAGGGCAAAAAAAAAATCTCTGCACTCGCTCCGGCGGCGGCAAACACCGAGGAGCTTCGGTCAAAATATAGTTGCGTTCACCGAGTCTCTTCAAAACTGCTTTGATAATGACGTCAAGTCAGGTACAAGGGGCAGCACAAGCGAACCTGGAGGGGAATAGGAAGCCATCGCTACGGTGGCCCCATGTGGTACGGAAGGGTCCGTCACATCTTCCCAAGAGTTGATGGGGGGAGAATCGACAGCGTGCTCGTGACGCCGTTAAGAAGGGGTGTGATGATGCGCCACGATACACCCATCCATCTGGTCTGCTGTTCAGCCTACTAATACCAGGGATGGTGGGAGCAAAGCATTACGGGTTGCCTTTTTTGGTGATTTCCTCGTGATGGACAGGGACTCTTATTTTTCGATTATTATGTCCTCCGTAGGTACGGCTAACCAGTTGACGCTTCCTCTGGAAATCCATGGTTAATACGAGATTGACCAGATGTAGGACGGACGGTAATCATCGTAGCAAAGCCAGCTATTTTATATTGGCCTTCTTCATATGTGAAGATCGTTCGTATCCTTCTTTATACTAAGTATGGAGTACTTTCATTGTTACTCTTGAGCCAAAATGACAATACTTATATTATCTAAATATAACCTCGTATATCCCGTTGATAAACATATAGATGATATAACTAGTTACCTGCAAGAGACGGGGTATTCCTCGGGAAGCCCATTGATCAGCGCGGGACTGATAGAAGTCAATTGCATCCAAAGGACTGGGAATCTCTGGGAGGAAGATCGGACGCAAACAGGGTTACAACCTGCTTAGTAGTCCAAAAAGCCTCCCAAGGTCCAATATCCTATCTATATTCAATAATACCGGCGCCAGGTACGACAGATTATGGTGATAGGTTATGTGTGTTCTCACACCATAGTAGGCTCAATTCCGCGAAGAGATAGTAGTTAATGCTCTAGACTTACAGAGCACCACGTTCTCAGACGTTTTCCCTGCCCCTTTCCTCCTATCTGATAGTAAAATCGGTGCAGCCTGATCAGATACACACAAACATAACCAGGACCCGATAGAGTGCAACCCTATTGGATCGGGTTTCAAGGAATCTCTGAAATGAATCACCAGCACACGCCTCGTGTGCTCGAACTCGAAGCTAGCTGAATTCGTCGTCTTGAAACATGATGGCATGGTTTCTTTTTGCACCTTTGCTCCAGAGCAGGTCTCTTCAAGCAAGCACACATGATATATATTTCATTCGCTGAGAAGGCTCGCTATCGTGGTGACGACCCTGTGCTCTCAGCGATCTCAGCGCCAGGCTTTCAGTTCAAGAAGCGTCCGGGAGTTCATGTACGACTGGCTAAGAACTCCAGCTTGCGATGGCATCTTAGCAAGGAAAAAGCAACCACAGCGACAAAGGGCGCTTCCGCGTGGCTGCTGCAAGCCACCAACGGACCGAGCTCGCCATCGCCAACCGTGAACTTCAACGACACTGCCGGGACCACTGACATAGCGACTTGTCTCCCTTGAAGCTTGTTACAGAGGGCGGTTTTCGTGTCCCTTTTCACGGATTCCACGATAAGTGACAGGACGATAATTCTGGTTGGCGGTCAGACTCTATCAGTCCCTGTGGAAACTCCCAGACGGTTAGTTAACATGTCCAACTGCATGTTAAGGAGCTCGTTAGAAGTGTGTTGAAGCAAGGATCAAGCATCTCCCATCTGCCGAAACCCACAAGTTCAAAGCCCATGGGCGAATGAAGGATAATAATGTCCACTCCCTCACCCGATGCTTATCAAACACCTCCAGGCCTTATGCTTATTTTTTTTTCTCACGATGTCTGGAGTAAAAACCGCTCGGCTAAAGCGGCCACCTCCGTTGTTGGTTCCCATGGATCTGATAACCACCAACTCTTGCCTCCCGGAATATTTTTCTTTCGTCTCGTCTAAATTCAACTGACTGCTAAAAGAGCTCGGCGGAAAGGGAATATTCCTTTCGTTTCTGTCATCACCGATAGGGACACCCCCGCGGGTACTCTCAACTGTTGGATATATAAATATAATTCACCTTGGCAGAGTCTGGTGAAAGGAGCGGTGTTTTGTCCAACCCGGAGTATGAGATCTCAGAGCAACCCGATTGCCGAGAGGGCAGATTCTCATCAGGAGGGACACCACAACACTGGCCATCCAGGCCATCCAGAGCAGACTGCTGGCGCAGGATGCGAGAGTGACTCAGAAGGCCCTGCTCCGGCAACAGAGAAGAAGTCACAGGACGCTGGTGCGAGGCAAGACCTGGACGCCCCAGCTAACGAGGGGGAAAGAGAACAGCCCCTTTATGACGAAAAGGCGCTTCCGTTAGCAGGAAATGGACTGCTATTCCAGGCCATAACTAGGGACCAGGACGGTAACTCGGTTTGTCTGTCCCGTACGCGATCGTCACAACCTTCTCCGCCTGCGGATTCAGAGAACCTCGCCCGGCTAGGTTCTCGTATGTCAACAGATCCAGATGGCAATGTGTATCCTGAGGGTGGGCTGGAGGCATACCTGGTGGTATTTGGGTGTTTTCTCTGCCTTTTCGGCTCCTTTGGATTGGTTAACACCATAGGGACCTTCCAGGCTTATTTGAGTGAGAACCAACTCAAGGATTACAATCAGAGTACCATCTCATGGATCTTTGGCGTCTTTTCCTTCCTCATCTTCTTCGGTGGTCTTCAGATCGGCCCTATATTTGATGCAAAGGGCCCAAAGGGGCTTGTCCTCGTCGGTTCGACCCTTGTCATTGGGAGCTTAATTGCTCTTGGATTTTGCACTGAATACTGGCAGATAATGGTTGTCTTTGGTGTTGTCTGTGCAGCTGGAACTTCGATGGTGTTCACACCAGCAGTGGCTAATCCTGGCCACTATTTCTTTCGCCTTAGAGGCCGGGCAACTGGTCTAGCAGCAACTGGAGGGAGTGTAGGAGGTATTGTCTTTCCCTTGGTACTAGATGCTCTCTTCACCAAGATTGGATTCGCCTGGTCTACTCGTGTATTGGCCTTGATATGCTTTGTTAGTCTTGGTGCTGGCTTGATGTTAGTCAAATCACGACTGCCCAGACAGCGTGCTACCATGGAGAATATCATGCCTGACCTCCGTATTCTCCTGGAGCCAGTATTTGCATGCACCACGCTCGGTATTTTCTGCATAGAGTGGGGTCTCTTTGTACCTCTCACATATATATCCTCCTATGCTCTTCATTACGGCATGCCAAAGGGGTTATCCTACCAGCTTCTGGCCATCCTCAATGTAGGATCCTTCTTCGGCCGTTGGGTCCCCGGATACATATCCGATTACACGGGCCGGTTCAATACCATGATTGT